AGTTCTGCCCGTGTCTGGCCTTGGCCTGCGACACATTCTTCTTCAAAGAACCGTCCTCCTGGGGACGGGGCGGCCTCCGGCGTGGCCTGCGGTGGCCGGAGGGGTGGGGCCTGGGGGAGCGGGGCCAGAGGAGGCCCGCTGACAGGTAGAGCCCTTCCCGGCTTTGATTCATTGACCGTCTGGGCAAGGGCTGGCCCGAGCCTCCAGGAATTACAAAAATGCCTCACACATACTTTCCCCGGCGGGCGGTTTTATGCTCGGTCTGCAGAGAAGGCCTGTCTGCCCGGCCAGCCCCGCAGCCCCCGTCCCCTCTCCCGTCTGCACGCCGCCCACCTCTTCCCCCGGAGACACCCTCTCTCTGAACGGCCTGGTCAGGGAGGCCGCAGTGGGCCGGGCCTGACCGCGTCCTCATAATTGAAATAGTTGGCCCCTGCATCTAGGCCAGAGCAGGGTGGTGCTTCCCCCAAGTCAAAGGGAGGGGTTCGGGCTGGGCTCCGCTCAAGGCGGGAGGGGGCGCGGGGAGCGGCCTGGGATGCTGAAGCCAGCGGCCCAGCGACAGGCTCTCCCCCGGGCCCCAGAGGACCCGAGTGGCCTGGGAGTGAGGCCGGGACGGAGGCCCGAGGCCCGCTGACCCCCACGTCCCTGCCTCTGTCCCGGTGCCGTCCTTCCCAGCCCTCCCCGCCCCATGCACCACCAGGCCTCACTCCAGCCTCACAGAATCTTCCATGTTGTAGGAAGAACATATGTTGCTTAAAAGGTGTTTCAAAATCCGGGGGCAGGGGGAGCTTGAGGCCCCTGTTTTGCACCCTCGGGACTCAGAAGTCCACGTGTGGGTCAGGCCAAGGCCCCAGTTGGTGTCTCTGTCATCCTGGGTCCTTCTAGAAACCCCCTTGCTGGGTTGCATTGGATGCTGAGCATTCGCTTTTGCAAAGGCCGCTGCCAAAGGAACAGGTGGAAGCCGGCTCGTCAACCACCACCCTCCGGGGGTCTCGAGGGAGAAATCCCTGCCCCCCACCCAACCCCCAACCCGCTCCGTTTTCCCAGAGGCTCTGACTGTGAGAACTGCTTGAGTTCAGGTCATATTTCCCTTTTCCCTTTGGCTGCCAGGAATCTCAAAGCCAAGGCAATTCTGTGGCCCTTCGTGACCTGAAACATTTATTTGCCTTCTTCCTGTGGCTTCGCTTTCTCTCCCTGCTGCTATCTCCCCTGATGCTGATTCGCTTTATCTGTTGTATCAGTATTTTTATGATGTGCCTTCTGCTGTAAGCTGCTTTCCGTGCTGTTTAGAACAAAGAGAACCCTAAGTAAGGACAGTGGTTCCATTGTGACGTTAGATTTATTGCTGAAAATGTGGGTTTTTTAGCGTGATCAGTGAATTCCCCTTCCGAATTGTCTGAATTTAGGGCAGGGGTGACGTGAGAAGTTCTCTCTCTTCTACCTCTGAGCCTCAGCACCTTGGCTCATAGAAGCCCTCAGGGTCCCAACGAGGTGAGTGACAGGTGATGAACATGAAAATAAGCAAATATCGAGGCCGGGTGTGATTCAGCGATTGATTGAGCGGCGACCCTGGAACCAAGAGGTCACCGTGCGATTCCCGGTCAGGGCCCATGCCCGGGTTGCGGGCTCCATCCCCAGTGTGGGGCGTGCAGGAGGCAGCCGATCCATGATTCTCTCTCCTCATGGATGTTTCTATCTCTCTCTCCCCCTCCCTTCTTCTCTGAAATCAATAAAAATATTTTAAAAAAAGAAGAAGATAAGCAAATATCTCCCAAACTGAGTGAGGTCAAGATAGTCCCTTCGCCTCCCAGGCCTCAGCCTGTGAAATGGGGACAGTCACGGGTCCGACCCTCAGAACGGCTGGGGGAAGTGATGACGGGGGAGAAAACGCTTCGTAAACGGCGAGGGGCAGAACCATCACCGAGCCGTGGGCTTGTGCACCCAGGGGCACGGCTGTTGGCCATCCTCCTCCTGGGGTGGGGGTCCTCCTGTCCTTTGACCCCCCAAAAAAGCCAGGGTGGGAGGAGGCTCGACTGGGCCTCTGGGCTGCCCTGACTCCACCACCTCCCTGGGGTGAGGGAGCCTCTCCGTGCAGGGCTCCTCGGAACTGGAGCTCCGGGGCCTCAGAGACGCCATCAGCTGCAGGTCTGTCAGCTAAAGGCCGCTGGACAGACGTGAGCAGAGCCCGGACGTGGGCAGGCGCAGGAAGTCCCCAGGCGGAGAGCCCCGGTGCCGAGCCATGGACCATCCACTGCGGGGGGACCTCGCCCCCGGGTGACCCTCCGCCCCCAGCACATGGCTGGTCCTGCACTCTGGACCCCCTGACCGCTCCTCCCTGAGATGACACCTAGGCCTCTGTGGGTTTCATTTCCAGGCCCAGAGAAGCAATTAGCAGCCACGGCCGAGGTCAGGACCAGCTGCTTTGAATAATGACCCGCCCTGGTGCCAGCCAATCCATGCATCAGCGGAGACCACAGCCCTGAGAGGACACACCTGGGAGCTGCCGAATGTTCTGTTAAGATCTTTCCCTGGGATCTCCCCTAAAATCTCTACCCTAAACCCCTTAGGACCAGTGGTTCTCCACCTTCTGGCCCTTTCAATACAGTCCCTCATGTGTGACCCAACCATAACATTATTTCCGTTGCTACTTCATAACTGTCATGTTGCTACTGTGATGAATCGTCATGTAAATATCTGATATGCAGGATGGTCTTAGGCGACCCCTGTGAAAAGGTTGTTCAACCGCCAAAGGGGTCGCAACCCACAGGTTGAGAACCGCTGCCTTAGGACGGAGGACCCAGTGCACGCCCAACCTCCCCCTTCCCTCTCCATTCCCTTTTCTCCTCCCCCAGCACCTTGTCACCCTGAGCTCCCTCCCTCCCAAGCTCCAAGGGCCCTTCCTTGCCCGAGACTGTGGCTTGGCTCGGCCCCATTTCTTTCCAGGAGTTGCTTTTCCTGCCTCTGCGATTTACCCAAGAAACATTCTCTTACCGTTTGGGTCTTGGCTCTGAATTACTTCCTCGCCCGAACTCATAGACTGGAGGCTGGTCTGACCCCCACCCGTCAGCGAAGTGCTTTCCCACGGCCCCGGCGGGCGGGCCCATCCTGCACGCCCCCTTCCCTGCCCGCCTGGGCCCCTGGCCTGGGACTCAGAGCCGGCAGGCCCTCCCTTCCGCACTCACAGGGGAGAGGACCCCTTTGGCCCTGCAGGGAGGGCGTCCCTGCCTGGGATTCATTCTTTCCCCATCTCCACCTGTGATGGGCCCGGCCGGTCCCCGCTCACACAGCATTTCGGCCTCACGGGCTCCTCTCCGCAGCCCTCCCTTCATCGCCGACTCCTGTGGCAAAGTCACAGGCAAGGGGAAGTGGGGGGGTCACAGGACCTGAGTCTCCTGGGGCAGGAGGGGGGCTTCCCAGCAGAGCAGGGGACCTCCCTCCCCACCACCAATAACCGAGGAGCAGCCCCTTGTTCTCTTGGCCGGGCCGGGCCGGGCAGAGCGAGCACCTGCCCTCCACGCGGCCCGAGAGCCCCCCAGGCAGAGGCGGCAGAGCCTGCAGCCAGTGGCCCCCAGCCCCGCAGCACAGCCGGGAGGGCTGCGGCCCCATAACTCCCCTCACTTTTGCGATTTGGCGTTTGTTTTGTTTTCCCCTCGTTTCCTAGGAAAGGGTTCTTTTGAAAAAGCCTCCAGCCCGGCTCCCATGCGCGAAGGGGAAGGGAGCGGACGGGGCGGGTGTGGCCTGGCGCGGGATGGAGCCTGCAGGGCGGGGAGGGGCCAGGGCTGCGGGAGGAAGAGGCTAGAACAGCTGTGCGCCTGGCAGCTCGCACTTGGGATCTCAGTAAACGCGGGAGGAGCGAGCGATGGGAGGAGCGCAGGGTGGCCTTTCTCAGACGTTAGTGGGCGCGGGGACTGTCTGGGACCTTGTGAACAGGCGGGTTCTGACCAGCAGGCCTGGGGTGGGGTTGGGGGGGGACAGGGGGCAGGATGCCGCGCTTCTGATCAGCTCCTCACTGCACAGGAAGCAGGGGGCCCTGCGAGTGGTCTCCCCACTGTCACCTGGGGCCTTTGGGAGCCTGTCCCCTCCCTCCCAGCATCCAGGTGGCTCCCCCACTGCCCCCATCGGCCTGCGAGCTCCCGGGAGGAGCAGCCTGGATACTGGTTACCAACACAGGACCTGACACTTACAAACATCGTGAACAAGTCAGGGGGGACCATCAGGAAAACGTCCCAGGTCCCCAAATGGATCTCAGCTGGGGGAGCCCAGACCCAAGCCCTAGCGCCAAGCACAGGGAAGAGGCTCGGGGCTCCCTGGGGCTCCCCGGGGCCCCTGTGTCTGTGGTCAGGTGGTTTCAGACTCTCTCCTTCCCCAAGGACGGGGTCCCTGGAGGCTGGGGAGGAGGGTGCAGCTGCCCCAGGGACGAGGCAGGAGGAGGAACGGCAGTGCCCAGAAGAGCCGGCGCAAAGGCCCCGGTTCTGGCCCCCGCATCCTGCCTGAGTCCGGACAGGAACCTTGAACTTCCCGCTGTGGTCGGTCATTCATTCACGCCTGCTGCTCTCGTGTCCCCGCGGATGGTCATGGTCCCTTCCTTGAGGGCAGAGGCCTTCCTTGAGGGCAGAGGCCTGGGCGGCTGGTATCGTCCAGGTCCCTGAGGTTCCGTGGAGGGGAGACGGCCTGAGGGCAGCTAGGCGTGATCCTGGGCAAGTGGCTTCGTCGCTCTGGCCTCAGTTTCCCCCTCTGTTTAATGGGGACGGTGACTCAGGGGGCTCATGGGACGACAGAAAGAGGGGAGTGAAGGGCTGGGAGTGAAGACATCGACTAATGCCCTCGCCAGCACCTTCAGTGGTAGAGGCGCCCCCTCCCCGCTCCCCCCCCCCGCCCTGAGCGGAACAGAGCCCCACTCGACGGCGTGTGCGGGACAGAGACACCCCCACCCCAGACCCCTCCAGCCCCATCTCCCACATCAGGACACTCTGGAGAGCTTGCCAAGAGCAGATTCTTTATTAATTTCTTTTTTTTCTTCTTCTTTTAAAAAAAAAAGGATTCCTTCAGTATAAAAAAATAAATATTTTAAATATGACATTGAATAAATAAAAATAATTCTGTCAGTATGAAACATTCCCACAGGGTACATTCATCACAGAGGAATTTGTCCCCAAGGCCGAGTCCTCTCCAGTGGACAGGACGGCGGGAAATCCGGGAGGACGCACGGAGCACGGAGCTGGCGGGGTGGGTGGGAGGGACGCCCAGGTACTGGGGTTTGGGGGTACAGGGGGGGGCTTGATCCGAAGGTAAAAACATCTGTACCATCTGAAAGGAGATGAACTTCTCGCCGGATTCCCAGCTCCAACCCCACACACTGTCTATTCTGAAGAGCCCTCCGGGCAGAGCCGGGCTACTTCTGTCGGGGGGGACGTCCCCACGGAGGGGACAAGAAGGGGGGGGGATGACAACAAGGAGGAGAGACAAATAAACTAACGGTGCTTTGTTGTTTAACAATTTAAATAATAAATAAGGTCCCCAATACTCCTCTCTTCAATAAAATACAACATGATGGCCCTCTCCCTCCTTCCTGGGCCCAGCGGGCGACCAGGGCTGCACACAGGGGTCCACCCCTGCCCAGGAAACAACGGGGGACAGGACAGCCGCTGCCCTGCAGGGGCGGAGCCTGGGAGCCAGGGGCTGTGCTGGCCCCTGAGCCTCAGAGGCGGCCCAGGTTGGCCTGGAATGGGGGGGGGGGGGGTTGTTCGTGTTCATGGGGTGATGACATGATGTGCGACCCACCAGCCAAGCCTTTTGAGCCAGAGAGATGAGGCGGGCAGCAGGCTGAGATTCGAACCCATTGACCAATCGACCCATCAGAGAACATGAGATCTCCATGGTTCCTGCCACCCTCCTTACATCCACTCCAACTCCACCCCCTACCCCCACCCCAGGCCCAGGGCTGGCCTGCTGCCTGCTCACCTGCCCTCAGTGGGGGTGGGGTGAGGGTGGAGTGGGGGAGAGGGGAGCACTCAGAGAGGACAGAGAGGTGCAGAGCGAGTGCAAAGTACCGTAACTGCATTGGCTGAGCTGCTCGGACGGAGGGCCGCTCAGCGCTCAGCCTTTGAGAAGAAGCCAGATGCTGCTCTCCTCTCTGCAGCTGCCCGAGCTCCGAGCCCAGAGGGCGTTTCTCCACTAGCCTGGCCCCAGCACAAAGGAAAAGATCGGGTTCCCTGCCTGGGAGCCCAGACATGGGTGGGGGCGTGGGGGGAGGGACCACAGCTTCCTGGTCCACATCCCAGGGCCTCCCTGGCCTCCGGAGCAGGGGCCTCCTCCCAGCCCTGCCCGCTTCCTGAGGTCCAGCCCGGCCCTCGCGCTCGCCCGCCCTCTGTGGGTGTTCGGGCCACCAGAGAAGGCGCCTCCCGCTGTGTGCGAGCCTGCTGGGTGCTGGGTGCTGGGTGCTGCGTCGTCGGGGCTGCTCCAGGGCCCCCCTCGACTGCTAGTCTAGAGGAGGCAGCGTGGGGACCGGGAAGCAGGAACAGGCAGGTCGCCCGGGCTGCCTGGCCCACTGCCCCCCTCTCTGCACAATTCCGGGGGCCCCCAGAGAACAGCGTCGAATGACCCCCTGGAGCCAAGCAGCGTGCGGCCCCGGGAAAAGGCCCCCCTCTAGCCACTCCACAGAGTGCCCCCAGCCTGCCTTGCAGCCAGGACCCTGACACCCCAAAGCACAGCTGGGGTGGAGGGATGGCTGACCGGTTCCCTCGGATTCCGAGCCTTCTCTGAGCTTCGCCCAGAAGGCTCATCCCACTTGTAACATCTTCAGTTTCCAGAGCAGCCCTGCGAAGGCCTGGCCCTGGCCCTGGCCCCCCGGGAAGGGGCCACCCTACTGTTTCTATTGGGTAGAGAACAGGGAAAGGGGGGAATTCATTTTGCCATGGAAAGCACCAATAAGTTAATATAAATAGGGCATCATAATAAATAGACGGTTGTGCCGGGTCCGACACACAGCACTCTGGGGCCTCAGGCGCTTCCCTGAGACCCTGACCTCAAGTTCTGCTGTCCCCTTGCTCTGGGGACCAGAGACGGCCTCTGTCCCCCTCAAGTACCTTTGCGTGACCCCACGGGGCCTCCAGAGGCCTCGGATGTGAGCTGCCACTCTGAGTGACTCCGCCCCTCCCCTCCACGACAGATTCTCCCCCAGAAGGAAGACCTGGGTCCCCTCCCCACCGCCTCACCTGACTGCGCCACCTGCCCGCCTCCACATACCCCACCTCCGGTCCAGCCGTCCTGGGCCGCGGGAAGATGCCAGCAAGAGGAAGGAGAGCCCGTCCGGACTCTCAGGGCCTCTCTTCCTTCCAGCGTCTTCCCTCCCAGGCCTGCAGGCGGCTGCTCTGCCTCCCCAGGGGCCTGAACCCCAGGAACCTCCTTCCGGAACCCTCGGCCTAGCAGCTCCGAGGCCTGAGCTCCCCCACCGTGTTCAAGAGGAGGCCACGTCTCCCTCCAGAGCTCCTTTCTCCGTCTTCCACTCCCCACTCGCACAGAGGCCCAGGGGTCCTGGGGTCCCGGCCCCTGTGGCGGCCCCATCCAGACCTTCCGAAGTCTACCCCAGGGGCAGCGAAGGCACGGACGCTGGTCATTCCGCTGGGGGTCGGGCAACCCCCCCAGCCCTGCTGCCTGGCCCTGTGGCCAGAATCGCCGGAGATCACGTGTTCGGTTTGGTCACGGAGGCCCCGGCCGCGGGGACACGTGGGGCAGACGTCCAGCCCACACGCCCCTCACAGCCTCGCACCCCAGGGCCCGGCTGGATCTCCCCGAAGAGGCAGGATCCAGGCCTCGCCGACGGGAGTTCTGACTCTGCTGGGTTTCTGCACAGTCCTCCCCGGAGGGGAGCGGCCGGCCGGGAGGGCCTCGGGGTCCGCCGGCCGATGGCACTTGCGTTTGGTGAGGCTTCGGCCGGGGCCTCGGTGTGAGATCCCCCTGAGTCCGAGACCGTGGGCCGCCGCGCGCCCCGAGGCCGCCCCCTAGAAGGCCTGGGCCAGCAGCGCGATGACCTGCTTGTACTTCCCCAGGAGCTGGCAGCCCATCTTCTTCTTCTGGAAGACGTCCTTGTCCGAGGTGTCGGGGCCGTAGGCCACCTCCACGCGGGCCACGTGGTACTTGCTGCACAGGCGGCAGTGCACGTTGCTCAGGAGGCCGCGCAGCGTGTCCGCCGTGGCGTTCAGCTTGCCGTGGAGGCCGACGGCGTGGGGGTTGAGGGTCCTCTGGTCCCGCGTGACGTTGCCCAGGGAGGCGCCAAGGTAGGCGATGATGCGGTACAGCTCCACCAGCCGGCCCTTATCGGTGCCGTTGGGGTGGAAGGGGGGGAAGTCCGTCACGTGGGGG